AGGCTGGAGCCCGCCGGGGTGAGAGGAGACGCGGGCAGGGGGCGGTGAAGCGGCCGGGCGGGTTCAAATGGAGGAGGCGGGAAAGCGAGCGGGGCGCGCGCGCGAAGCCCCGGCGGGGCGGGCGGGGCGCCGCGCTGGGGGCAAGTGCGAGGGTTGCCGGCAGGGGGCGCGCGCGCGGGCTCGGTGACCGTGCGCCCCACCGAAGTGTAGGGGGCACTGGCTGGGCGGATGGCTGCGCTGATAGCCCCGGGTCTCTGCACCGGGCCACTGAAACCGTGCTAATGGCAGGAATCCTGCAAGGCCATCGGCGCCCTGGAGCACCCACCGCTGCTGGGCCAGCCACAGGGGCACAGCACGCACACAGCTGCCCGGGAAGGGAGAGACGGTCCCGGGCTCTGCCTAGGGCAGGGTGGTGCCCCGGAGGCTTCTGTTGTCCTCGTTGTTCCTTACACCGTTACCCTCCTTCCCCGTGGGCTGCTGTGAGTTCATTGCGTTGTCTGAGTGAGGGCCTGGTGCTGCAGCCCTTAGGTCCTCGGTCACACAGGTGGGCTTCAGTTGGACTCTTCGCATGGGAAAGGTTTGGAGAATAGGGACCCAAGGCCCCCGTCCTGCTAACGCACCTTCAGCACTACGTGTGCGTGTCCCATCAAAGTCCATAGGACTGCTTGTACATAAAGTTAAGCACGTGCTTTGCAGGGTCAGGGGCTTAGTTTGTGAGCCCTTCTGGGCAGGGACCTTGTCTTCTAAGCTCTACTCTTGTCTCTTCCTTTCTCTAATGGGACTAATAAGGTATGTGCATAACCGTACACAAATCTGTTTCCGCTTGGTGTTACCCTCATCTTTCCCATCACACCCCACCGACTCTGTTGTCTCTTGACAAGCTGTATCTATGTTAGGTGCTGATCCTATAAACATTTACCATCAAGTATAATGCCTACTATTATGAGTGGTCCCATTGAAGTCAGTGGGACAGATCACAGAAATAAACATGGTGCCTTGTAGTGTTTGCAAGATGTGGCCCTTAACCTTGTAAGCTCATTGTGCGGAAAGGATCTGTCTTATTTTTATTTTTCTGTAAAGGGCTGTGCTGTGGTGTTCAATAAATTCTTTGTGTGAAATGCCAAGAATATAGCAGTAGGGATATATTACCCACCACCTGACCAGGATGGTGATAGTGACTGTGAAATGCTCAGAGAGATTAGAGAGGCTATTAAAATAAAAAATTCAATAATAATGGGGGATTTCAACCATCCCCATATTGACTGGGTACATGTCACCTCAGGATGGGATGCAGAGATAAAGTTTCTTGACACCTTAAATGACTGCTTCTTGGAGCAGTCCTGGAACCCACAAGGGGAGAAGAAATTCTTGATTTAGTCCTAAGCGGAGCACAGGATCTGGTCCAAGAGGTGTATATAGCTGGACCGCTTGGTAATAGGGACCATGATATAATTAAATTTAACATCCCTGTGGTGGGGAAAACACCACAGCAGCCCAACACTAGCATTTAATTTCAGAAAGGGGGACTACTCAAAAATGAGGAAGTGAGTGAAACAGATTAAAAGGTACTGCGCAAAAAGTGAAATCCCTGCAAGCTGCATGGAAACTTTTTAAAGACACCATAATAGAGGCTCAACTTAAATGTATACCCCACATTAAAAAGAGAACCAAAAAAGTGCCACTGTGGCTAAACAACAAAGTAAAAGAAGCAGTGAGAGGCTGTTAGGGTTCCTTCCCCACTCTGAACTCTAGGGTACAGATGTGGGGATCTGCATGAAAGACCCCCTAAGCTTATTTTTACCAGCTTAGGTTAAAATCTTCCCCAAGATACAAACTGCCTTTTCCGTGAACAGTATGCTGCCACCACCAAGCGTTTTAAACAAAGAACAGGGAGAGAGACCACTTGGAGACGTCTTCCCCCAAAATATCCCCCCAAGTCCTACACACCCCCTTTCCTGGGGAGGCTTGAGAATAGTATCCTAACGAATTTGTTACAAAATCATCAAGGACCCAAACCCCTGGATTTTGGAACAATGGAAAAATCAGTCAGGTTCTTAAAAGAAGGATTTTATTAAAAATAAAGGTAAAAATCATTTCTGTAAAATCAGGCTGAAAAATATTTTACAGGGTATTCAGATTCAAAACACAGAGGATCCCCCTCTGGGCAAAACCTTAAAGATACAGAAAACAGGAATAAACCTTCCTCTTAACACAGGGACAATTTACATAAAACAAAAGATAAACTAATCCGCCTTGCCTGGCTTACCTATACTGGTTGCAATATTGGAGACTTGGATTGGGATGGGTTAGAGAAGATGGATTTCTGTCTGGCCTCTCTCAGTCCCAAGAGAGAACAACCACGCAAACAAAGAGTACAAAAAAGCCTTTCCCCGCCCCCCTCCCCAAGATTTGAAAGTATCTTGTCCCCCTATTGGTCCTTTGGGTCAGGTGCCAGCCAAGTTAGCTGAGCTTCTTAACCCTTTACAAGTAACAGGATGTTGCTTCTGGCCAGGTGGGATGTTATAGCACTGTATACAGAAAGGTGGTTACCCTTCCCTTTATATTTATGACAGAATCAAAAAGGCATCCTTTAAAAAGTGGAAGTTAAATCCTAGTGAGGAAAATAGAAAGGAGCATAAACTCTGGCTAGCTGTTCTTCAAATTCTTTTTTGGTCTACTTAATTATATTTTTACACTTCATTTGCCAAAGACAAAAAATAACAGAAAAAAACATTTTTAAGTACATCAGAAGCAGGAAGCCTGCTAAAAAATCAGTGGGGCTGCTGGGCGATCGAGGTGCTAAAGGAGTACTCAAGGACGATAAGGCCATTGCGGAGAAACAAAATTAATTCTTTGCATTGGTCTTCACAGCTGAGGATGTGAGGGAGATTCCCAAACCCGAGCCATTTTTTTTAGGTGACAAATCTGAGGAACTGTCCCTGAGTGAGGTGTCACCAGAGGAGGTTTTGGAACAAATTGATAAACTAAACAGTAATAAGTCACCTGGACCAGATGGCATTCACTCAAGAGTTCTAAAGGTATTCAAATGTGAAATTGCAAGACTACTAACTGTAATCTGTAACCTATCATTTAAATCAGCTTCTGTACCAAATGACTGGAGGATAGCTAATGTGACGCCAGTTTTTAAAAAGGCTCCAGAGGTGATCCCAGCAATTACAGGCCGGTAAACCTGACTTCAGTACCGGGCAAATTGGTTGAAACTATAGTAAAGAACAAAATTGTCAGACACATAGATGAACATAATTTGTTGGGGGAAGAGTCAACATGTTTTTTGTAAAGGGAAATCATGCCTCACCAATGTAATAGAATTCTTTGAGGGGGTCAACAAGCATGTGGACAAAGGAAATCCAGTGGATATAGTGTACTTAGATTTTCAGAAATCCTTTGACAAGGTCCCTCACCAATGGCTCTCAAGCTAAGTAAGATGTCATGGGATAAGAGGGAAGGTCCTCTCATGGATTGGTAACTGGTTAAAAGATAGAAAACGAAGGGTAGGAATAAATGGTCGGTTTTCAGAATGGAGAGAAGTAAATAGTGGTGTCCCCCAGGGGTCTGCACTGGGACCAATCCTATTCAACATATTCATAAATGATCCAGAAAAAGGGGTAAACAGTGAGGTGGCAAAATTTGCAGATGATACAAAACTGTCAAGATAGTTAAGTCCCAGGCAGACTGCGAAGAACTACAAAAGGATCTCTTAAAACTAGGTGAGTGGGCAACAAAATGGCAGATGAAATTCAGTGTTGATAAATGCAAAATAATGCACATTGGAAAACATAATCCCAACTATATATATAAAATGATGGGGTCTGATTTAGCTGTTACCACTCAAGAAAGAGATCTTGGAGTCATTGTGGACAGTTCTCTGAAAACATCCACTCAATGTGCAGCAGCAGTCAAAAAAGTCAAGAGAATATTGGGCATCATTAAGAAAGGGATAGATAATAAGACGAAAAAATATCATATTGCCTCTATATAAATCCATGGTATGCCCACATCTTGAATACTGCGTGCAGATCTGGTCACTCCCCTCTTTAAAAAGATACATTGGAATTGGAAAAGGTACAGAAAAGGGCAACAGAAATTATTAGGGGTATGGAATGACTTCTGTATGAGGAGAGATTAATAAGACTGAGACTATTCAGATTGGAAAAGAGACAACTAAGGAGGCATATGATTGAGGTCTATAAAATCATGACTGGTGTGAAGAAAGTAAATAAGGATGTGTTGTTTACTCCTCATAACACAAGAACTAGAGGTCACCAAATGAAATTAATAGGCTGTAGGTTTAAAACAAACAAAAAGGAAGTATTTCTTCACACAATGCACAGTCAACCTGTGGAACTCTTGCCAGAGGATGTTGTGAAGACCAAGACTATAACAGGGTTCAAGAAAGAACTAGATAAATTCATGGAGGATAGGTCCATCAATGGCTGTTAGCCAGGATGGGCAGGGATGGTGTCCCTAGTCTCCCTGTTTGCCAGATCTGGGAATGAGCGACAGTGAAAGGATCACTTGATGATTGCCTGTTCTGTTCATTCACTCTGGGGCATCTGGCATTGGCCACTCTTGGAAGACAGGATACTGGGCTAGATGGACCTTTGGTCTGACACGGTATGGCAGTTCTTTAGTTCTTATGCCATGTCTGCCAATGGCATTGTACACATTTTTGTAATATTGAGGGTTTTTAAAATTTCTGTGGTGGATGATTTTTTTAAAATATTTAAATGAATGCTGATTAACCTCTACCCCATGTGAATTGTAACAAAAATGTTTCCTACTTAGTTGGGGTGGTAGTGGTGGGTGTAGAGTGGTGGTAGGTTTGTTTTTTGTTTGGAAACCAGTAAAGCGTGAATACATATTTATATTATAGTGTCAACACTTGTTTCTAAAGGCTGTAGGTATATGGAGAGCTTTACAAAACACACACAAGACAAGTTCCCTACCCCAAAGAGTTTAAACTCTTAACGCCAGTATGGTGTCATGTTTGTGTCTCAGCCAGTCAGAAAACCGGCTGCTTGGTCTCTTACTCACAGATGAAAAAAAAGTAACTTCAGCCAGGTGAGAACTGGATAATCCCTGGAAGGATAACCTGGTTTTAAAAGTTGCACTTCTACCAAGAAGCTGGTCTCTGACTGAAGAACACAAGTTGTTTTCTGTGAGATAATCTGAATTCAGCTATTCCACAATGACAAAAGGTGCAACCTCTTACCTGCACCAGGATCCCTAATAGAATGACTCAGTCAGGAGAGACATGGAACTTCCTGAGCTGCCAGAGGCTGGGAGTGCTGCAGAATCCCTAGGAAAAGGGAGTGCTTTTTCCTTCTACTTCCTCTCCTATCTCCCAAATTGGGCATCAGAATTGCTAAACTAGCCGGATGGGGGAATACAAGAATTTCAGAAAAGATGCACACCTCTACCCCAAAATCTCCAATTAATGTAGTAGATCTAAGGTCATTGGACATTGCACAGGACTGGTATCCAGCTGGGGTCCTCTCTCTCTCCACCCCAAATTCTTCATCCAAGATTCAGGGGTTTAGCATTTGTCTCTTTAAAGACCCCACTCTTTGCTACAATGCTGACAAGAAGGGGTCATAACACCAACTCTATTTTTAATTGTTTGTGTCAACATGGAAGCTAAAACAAGCCATTTGGTCACTCGTTTTACATTTTATTGAAATAAATGACATGATGTTACCAATTTGAGGTTTCATGAGGAAGAGGGGATCCTTGTTATCTCCCTGTAAAATCAAGCAACCCCTCCAAACTTTTAACATGTGAATCAGCTAAAGCAAACTACCCTGAAGTTTGATCTTTTTCTACCAATCTTCCCATCCCTTAGGTGTGAGCTAGAGCAGACAAGGAGGCACACTTCCTTGCTTTCCCTCTGCCACTTTCTTCCTGCGAGTCTCCATTCAGTTCCCCGTGGGAAGTTCCCTTTTCTCCATTATGATTCCACTTTATGGGAGGGTTATTCTCATTCTCTGTTTCTTAGACCTTGTCCTGTAGACGGGAACGGGGGAAGGAGCCCAGACGTGGCAACACATTCTCAGGCTCCTGCAGGACCACCATGGCTTATGATGACTCCAAGAAAAAAGAAGGTATGACTGCTTCATAATCTGTGAGGGTGTTCAAAAAGGGTACCCTCTACAGCCCCTGCAAGCCCATGGAGTTGAGAGAGTGGGAAAGGAAGCCGGTCTCCTGCATGGCAGTACAGAATGCAAAGCCCTAGGGCATCAGGCTGGGTTTCTGCAGCATTCCAAGTCTCTCGTGGCGTCAGGAAGTGAGATACTGGGACTAGAAAATGGGTTTCACAGGTGGCATTTCAGACTGCTGACACCTTCATTACTGAACTCTGCCCTTGCAGCATTTATTGTCCCTGTCAACTCCATAGAACAGGAATGGGGATAGAATTTAAATCTCCTTCACAGCAACATAGTAATCTCTAGACCCTGGTTTTAGTCTCAGCAGCATCCTGAGTTCCTTCTGTCTCTGGGGAGAAAGAAACCAAGACTAGGAATTGAACCTTGATCTCTTGTGGGGTACTGTACAGCACTGAGCCTTTTCCCTGCAGTTGGGGCAGCACAGCACACAAATTCCTAGTCCCCAGTATTCTTTTTTTTTTTTTTTTTTTTTTTGCTTGGTTGGTTGGTTTTTTTTGTACATCAGTCTGCTTCAACTTTGGCCTCTGTGATTGTGTTGCATTTTATGCAGAATGAATTTGCTTTCATTGTTCCTTAATTGGGTATCTTCATCCTTCCCTTTCTCACCACACTCACAAATGCTAGAGTGCTTAGAGGGTGACCGAAGCATTGACGACGTGGGGCTGGCAGCAGGTAGAACCCAGCGAGAGAAAAAACGCTCTTACAAGGATCTGCTGCGGGAAGAGGAGGAAATAGCAGCTCAGGTCAGAAATACCTCAAAGAAAAGGTTGAAGGTGAGAAAATGCACTTAAAACAGCGGTTCTCAAACTTTAGCAAACCGAGGACCCCCATTTTGATTTAAAATTTTTCACAGACCCCCAAACCTCACTCAGCCCCAGGCCCTGCCCCCACTTCACCTCTTCCCGCCTCCACTCCACCCCAGCCCCTCCTCTTCCCCGTCTCTTTCCGCCCCTGAGTGTGCCCCGTCCCTGCTCCTCCCCCTTCCTCCCAGCGCCTCCTGCACGAGGCGCTGGGAGGAGAGGGAGGAGTTGATCAGCATGGCTTGCGGACCCCAGTTTGAGAAACGTTGACTTAAAATCATCTGCTGGGATTGGGGTGGGTGAATTTGCTATTTTCCTTTTGTAAAAATGGCCAGTGACGGACTATGGAAAGCAGAGGGAGTGCTTCACATCACTCATTGGCAGCATACAGTCCTTCAAAAAGTGGTATTGATTAATTCTGAGAAGTAGTCAGGCCCAGTTATTATCTGTGATTTGTGGCCTCAGGATGGATGAGTGGGGAGTTCCTACCCCAGCCCTGAGAGGCATGGGAGAGCAGGAATTGTAAATTTTCATGTAAAAAACAAAATTCTAGACCTTATGGTTGCATAGATAATTTACAGAATATGAACAGAATATAAAGTGATGCACTGTTGTCCTCTTGATTCTGCAGGCAGCCTGAAATGGTAGCTCTGAGAGGTATGAACTGCCCTATTCATCACCTGGAGGTGTTAATACTGAAACCTGATAGTAACCACTTTGAGCTGAAATTTCTGCTGCCTATTGTCAGTCCAGAGGTGACTAGTTTAAGATTGGGAGGGTTAAGACCTTTGCAAGTGTGGAAAAAATTGTTTTCTACTCTTTTTTTTTAATTTTCCACCACTCAAATGGAATTCCCAAACTTCATTTTAAAACTTCAGAATGGTCAATACACAGAGAATGTATTTCAGTGGTGGGCAATCTGTGGCCCTTCCCACAGCTCCCATTGGCTGGGAATGGCAAACCACGGCCACTGGGAGCTGCAGGCGGCAGTGCCTGCAGATGGTCAATGTAAACAAACTGTCTCATGGCCCACCATCGGATTACCCTGACAGGCCGCAGGTTGCCCATTTAGTGACAAGAGTGGTTTCCAGAATTATCTGTATCAAGAGCCAGTATGAATTTGTTTTTGTTTCCTACTGGTTTTTCATCTCCTTTTCTTCTCTGATTCCAGGACAGCGACCTCTTCTTCTTGGGGACAGAATCTCATAAGAAGAAGAGGAAGCATTCCTCTGATGAGTTCTTCTACGGAGGTGAGAATAGGAAACATGTAGGATTGATGCTATGGGGCAGGAAGGCTGATCAGTAGGGCCCTACCAAATTTATTGTCCATTTTGGTCAATTTCGCGGTCATAGTATTTAAAAAATTGTAAATTTCATTATTTCAGATATTTAAATCTGAAATTTCACAGTGTTGTAACTGTAGGGGTCCTGACCCAAAGGGTAGCTGTGGGGGTCTCAAGGTTATTGTAGGAGGATTGCGGTATTGCCACCCTTGCTTCTGTGCTGCTGCTGCTGGCGGTGATGCTGCCTTCAGAGCTGGGCGCCTGGCTGGAAAAAAAAAATCCTGACATTTGAGAGTTTTATCTCCAGATCATGATGGTAGGCTCTGAGCAGATGTGGTGAGTGCTGGGAGGGTGAACTGAGTAAGGTGTCACATGGAGTAGGGGGCCTGAAGTGATGGGGTGGTGATGATGGGGACTGGAGGACAGGATTAATTGCTGGGCAGGAGATGAGCAGATGTGGGGATGAGAGTTCCTGCAGCAGGGGCCAAAATCCCCTTATCCAGTACATGTGGGAGAGCGGGCAACACTAATTGTCACATGCACACACCCTGGGGATGGGCAGGCGTGCAAAAATCAAGAGACTGACCTAAAAACTCAATATAATAATTTTTTTAAATCTTGTGATTTTGGGGCCAATCTCATGATTTTTGGAGGTCCGACTCCTGATTTTTTATCTCTTGAAGTTGGCAATACTGCACATCCCTTTAGGTGGCTTTTGTGCTTGTTTTTTCTCTCTGAAAGATCAAGCTATGGATTTTCTTCGATCGTAAGCTCTTTGGGATAGGGACTTTCTTTTTGTTCTGGTTATGCAGTGTCTAGCACAATGGGGTCTGGTCCTTGACTGGGTCTCCTTGGTGCTACCATAGTACAAATAATAAATAATAACAATACTAATAATACTCAAGGTAATACTGGCTCCTCTGAATTTTCAGTCACATATATTCATGCCATGGGATGGTCAAACCAGGCTCTCTGAGTTTAATATGAATACTGAATTATCCTAACAGTTCATACTCGTAACTAAACAGAAGCCCACAGCTTCTGTTTCTCTGTAGCCTTGTTTCTTGTGACCAGCCTAGTGCCAGGCTTCCTTTGCAACAAGATTCAGAGGACTTCTCTCTAAGCCAGAAAGGTGTCCATTTAGCCCTGAGCACCAGGAATATTGTGGAACTCTGAACCCCTCTTCTTCAAGCCGGCATAGGAGGAGATATGTCACATACAGTCTCCCCTCAGTTTGATTTATTTTGGTCTTTTTCAGACCTTTCACCTCTGGAGTTGCCATCAAAGAAGAAGAAAAGAGCAGTCTCAAGCCCAACCTCTTCTGACACGGCCATGGATCTTCTTAAGGCTATCACCTCACCCCTTGCCACGGGCTCCAAGCCCTCAAAAAAGACAGCTGAAAAATCATCCTTCTCTTCCTTTGCTGCCACTGGCTATTCAGAGAGCAAGAAGGAGCACCATAAGAAGAAACTGAGTGGTAGCAGTGGAGAGCTCGCACTGGATGATGGTAGCTTCCACAAATCCAAAAAGATGAAGCCACTCTATGTAAACACAGAGACACTGACCCTGCGTGAGCCTGATGGCTTGAAGATGAAGCTCATCCTTTCACCTAAAGAGAAGGGGGGCAGCACAGTAGACGAGGAGTCATTCCCATACTCCTCACCACCAGCAGCAGCAAAAAAATCCTCCAAGAAATCAGGTCGAGATGAACAAGGCTCATTCCTCCTGGGTCATGAACTTCAAAGCTTCCTGAAATCTGCTCGGAAGAAGCACAAGCCACTGCCAGACGCACATCCACCTCCAATCCCCGAGGGATTTGTCCCTGACACCTCCCTGTTCTCAGAAGCTCATGGGAGTGAATATGACCTTTCAAGTATGGAGCCACCACTGGAATCAGGTTCATCATCTGGTGGGGAGTTGGAGGCCGGAGAGCTGGTGATAGATGACTCCTACCGGGAGATCAAGAAGAAGAAGAAGTCAAAGAAAAGCAAGAAAAAAAAGGACAAGGAGAAACACAAGGAGAAGAAGCACTCTAAGTCTAAGAAGAGTTCTGGACTCCCTGCCTCTGTAGCAGTAGCTGAAGTTATGGTGACACCACCGCCACCCCCTCCACCCAGCACTCCATTTGTCCTTCCTGTGCCTCCCCCCCCACCTCCTGTTTTCCACACTGATGGACAAAGTGAGAAGAAAAAGAAAAAAGAAGAGAAGGACAAGGAAAAAGCTGAGAAAGCAGAAAAGGATAAAGAAAAGGTAAAGAGCGGTAGCAGAAATTGTGATGTCTAAGACGCTGTGACATTGGGTAACACTGGATAAGACGCCCTATATTTTAGCCGCAGAATTAGCCACAGAACCATTGCCTTTGTTCCAGAAGCTGAGCTTTTGTTTAAAAAAAATATATTTCTAGTGCTCATTGTTATGAAAATAACCTTCAAAATTTGAATCAAGTATAAACTGAAACAGTAGGTCTCAGAGGCATGAGCCATCCTGTCCATGTCAAATGGTTTTTAACCCTGAAACCTAAAGAAGAAAAACTAAGTATCAACATAAATTGTTTCACTGTTGAAACATTTTTGCGAAACATCAGTTATCGTGTGATATATACAACTATGCTTTAGGGCATAAACCATCCTCAGACTTTATCTAAAAGGAGAAGTAAGAAACTTCTTTTAACAAGTTATACCATAATTGCCCATTTTGGGGTTTCTCGCACCTTTTTCTGAAGCATCTGATTCTGGTTACTGCCAGGCAGGCTACTGGACCAGAGTGTCCACTGATCTGGTAAAATATGGCAAGGGAAAACAACTCTATGCTGAAGTTGAAGTATTTTTCCATTATCTCCTAAATGAAAGAAAAATAAGATATTAATCTTGTAGAAGGACCACATTCCCAGTTCCATCCTATGCTGAGAATCTAGGACATCAGGTGTCCATGGCTAATTTATAAAACTGCGAGTGGGGAAAACTTTTGACAGAGTATGAGTGGTGTGGCAGTAATCAGAGCAATGTCATCCTGCAGTATACTGATGGGAAAGATGACAGACTGGACATAGAGTAGCTGGATTGTGTCAAGAATTAAGCAGGAATAACCCAAGTGAACCAGCCCATAACCACTCTCGCTCAGTAAAATAGGCTCTAAAATTACATGTAGGATTTCACTGAGCACAGATTGGCAACTGCCTCTGCCACCACAGTTGCTGTACTGCTAGTGTCTTACTCCTGTAGAAATCCTAGGACTGGAATAAGAGATGGTGCTATTTGTCAGGACTGAACTGAAAGATCTATGTGACATCCTAGACCACATCTACACCACGAGCTTGGTGTTTACTTGGCGCAGCTCCGCCATGCCTCCACTGCCACTATCTGTGCTACTGAGGCCATGCTGCTATTTATACTCACACTAACTCAGTGATGGCTAGCACAAGCATGTATACTTTAACAGGGGAATTGCACCCCTCGCTCATGTGGTAGACATAGCCCTAGGAATGGAATAAGAAGTGGTGCTGCGTGTCAAAATTGAGGTGTGTCAGCAGAACTGGATGTTGATCCTGAACCAGAATAGCAGGGGTTGCCTCAGGTCAGGAATGAAATGTATTGGCAGAGATCTTGCAGGAGTAACACAGATTATCCTTAAATTTAAATAGGTCTCAGTATAATTAAAAATCTTCCTTGTTTTCTTTTCTCCTTGTGATTAGCCAAAGAAGAAGAACATGTCTGCCTACCAAGTGTTCTGTAAGGAATATCGAGTGACTATTGTGGCTGAGCATCCAGGGATAGGTAAGAGAATAACCTAGCCTCTTCTTCTGTTCATATACGTCTGTCACTGTGATAGTCCAGTCAGATTGGTTACCAGGGCGTATCCTTGTTTTGTCCCAACACCCACTATTGATGTTGGAGTGCAAAGAGTCTGCCAGGATGCTTTAAATAAGAGGCAGCAAAGTGAAAAGGAAAGGCTCCCATGATCTAATATCATGGTGTTTCAACCCAACTGTGAATTTGGATAACTTCCTTTTACTGTGAAACTGTCTCCGATAGTATGTTGTGCAGCCTCCCATATACACATGTTCCTCAGTGGAGGTGTATTTGTCCAGCATCCACCTGTTCCTTTTAGGTTGAGACTATCGGAAATAGTCTCCAAGTATGGGTAGTTCAACTGTGATACAGGCTCTTCACTAACAGCATATGCATGGGCCAGTTTCCTGAACTTTCAGTATTTATACAAACTTTCCACTGTCTTCTCTTTGTTGATTTTTATATTTGATTTTTTTATTAACCTTTCCCATTTTATTGCTACCTCCCCTTTTCCTCCTAGATTTTGGGGAGTTGAGCAAAAAACTGGCAGAAGTGTGGAAGCAGCTGCCTGAAAAGGATAAACTGGTACGTATGCCCCTGGATATATTTTTTTGTAAAATAAATTCTCTACATTAGCTGCCTGGATCCTCTCATGCTGCCAGCTTTGCTTTTGCGGTGTAGGTTCCCTGGGTGTTAAAGTATGGCAAATAAATGTGCAACCCCCTGCAGTAAGGGAATTGGGTGCTCTCAGCCCCATAATAACAAAAATGTCCAGTTTCTGCTTGTGAGACTTGCTTAGCCAGTCAACTATCCATAAAGTCACCCCATCTCTCAAATTCTGGCAGCAGGTTTGCCTAATGGTTTGAATCCTGCTTTTCTTTCCGTGTTCTGTGCAGGTTTGGAAGCAGAAAGCTCAATATCTGCAGCATAAGCAGAATAAAGCAGAGGCCACAACAGTGAAGAGGAAGGCAGCTTCATCAGAGGGTGCCCCAAAAGTGAAAGGTAATAGCCACACCCCATTTGCTCTAGTCTTTGGGGAAAGGGGAGAGTACGACCTGTGCATTAGGGTATAGAGAGAGTGCCTTCTGCTCTTTCCCTCCTCCTTCCCAATGAGTTTGGTGTGTGATTATTCTCTAACTCAAAAATGATCCCTGTAGAGAACTGAGGAATGGTGTTAATAGGTTTCAAAAGGGCATTCTGACCAGCCATAAGCTATAAATATGGTACCATTCATACAGCACATTGATGATGGAGTATGTAAAGCAAGAAGGAACAGGAGAGAAGTTTGTGTAGGTGCTAGAGGCTGGAGTTAACAAAAACAAAGGGTATGGTTAGTTTAGCATCTGTTTAATGAGAGAATCTCCCACCACTTCTATATTAATATTAGTTATTAATACAGCGTCAAGAAGTGGGGTTGGTGCTTTGCATAAGTATGAGAGAGACCCCAGCTCCAAAGAGCTTACAATCCAAACAGACTTATCAGTAAAGGAATAAGAAAGAGGAGATGATAAGATTTTTTTCCCCCCATCTATTTTAAGCTTCCCCAGCAGGTATGCTTTCACCTCATAAGAAGTCCCCTTCCAGCACTGTGGTGTTATCCTCCTCACCAGCCAAAGCCCCTGATACAGATCCCATTGATGTAGCTGCACATCTACAGTTGCTGGGTGAATCTCTGAGTCTCATTGGACACCGACTGCAAGAGACAGAGGTGGGTACAGAGCCAGTACCAAATCAGGGAATCTCATTTGTAATCCCAACATAACATGTGTGTAACCTGGACTCTAAACTGCATTAGGTTTAATGGGTAACAGTATAGTCTCACTCCCACTGTCCTGCATGCTTTATCACAAATAAAACGTATTTGAACTGCTTTTCCCCAGTGTCCCAACTGGGATTTTTGTACAGGGGAGTAGCTCCTGCCTCTGTAAAGGTGAAAACCTCTTCCTTCACAGAAGGATGTGGAAAAGTAATTCCCCGCTCCAAAAATTATGTTACCTTAGGGCAAGCCTAGCTACAGTCTTAGCTCTTTGAGCCCAGAGAGGCAATATTCTTCACTATGCTTCCTATTTCTGGGTTGGGGTTTAAGTATCTATTATCGCAATAGATGATAAAAATCATAAAAATTGTGACCCTAATAAGACATATTTACTCCAGTACTCTGCCTTTGTTTTCTGTTGTTTCCCACCCTTTTCCTGTATTTGTACATTGCCTATTGAGATCCTGTTGTAAACTATTTGGGTCAGTGATATATATGTTTGAAGTACATCACATGGCTTTGTTATGATACAAACAATAGATAGAGAAGTGGGATTGGTGGATAAGACCAAGAGAGAGCTTGTGGTATCTTTGAGAGAATAGATTTTTATGGTGATGGGATTGCAGTCTCCACTACTTATACCCATTCAATTCCTTTCTCCTTCCTTATTTCCAGGGGATGGTGGCTGTATCAGGAAGTTTGTCAGTACTTCTAGATTCTATTATCTGTGCCCTGGGCCCTTTAGCATGCCTGACCACACAACTACCTGAGCTGAATGGCTGCCCTAAGCAAGTTCTGGTGAGTTCCTTGTTGTTCTTATTTCGGTTCTAGACCTATTTGTCTCCATGGAAAGAGAGCTGGAGTCCTGACTAGCATGTCTTTGTGACACTGGTGAGTCTCTACTGCTACACAGGTGGATAAATAGTTCTGCTAGTGCACTGTTACTATCAGGGCTTTGGAGAGGAGCCCGCGGAGCAGCTCCGGCGCAGTGGAGCTGCAGGTTTTTGCCTGGAGCTGGAGCGGAGCCGGAGCACAGCTCCAAAGCCCTGGTTACTTTGGGAAGGATTTATGTGTGGGGAATTCACTGATAATATGTGCTGTAGGATATTGTGCATTAGATTTTCAGTGAAAGATACAGAGATGCTAACAGTTCAAGGGAACTTAACGTAACCTTTATTCCATTTATTGCAGTACTTGCAGCTCCTGTTTCTCAATGACTGAAACAGTAAATCTGGAGCAAATAAAATAACTGTGCATGCCAGACATCTTAATAAGCTCCAAGTTTGCATAAGAATTAAAAGGCCCTCTCCAGCTGGTATATATATACACACATTCAGTTTTTCTGTAATTGTGTAAATATCATTCCAGTGACCCGCAGTTAACTCTTAAGACCAGAATTCCCTATGTGGAGGGTGGGCACCTCAAAATATGTCAGTAAACTCCTCCAGGCAAGGGAGGCATGTGGTCTGTTACTTACAGCTTTTGGGTTCAGAGATACATATTCTCTCCTCCATTCCTAAACAACACTTCATAGTGAGCCCTCGTTTGGCAGTGGGCAACTTGCAGCACCAGTGCAGCATGGTGGCAAATGCAAAGTTAGAACGTGAAAGCAGAGAGAGGGACAGAAGTCACAGCACCAAGCAGGGGAGAAGACCAAGGCAGAGAAAAAGAGAGAAAGGGAAGGAACTGGAATCAAAAAGAGAAAACATACCCAGTAAAGTACACAGAAAATACTAGATGAAAAGCAAATCTGCCAAGGAAGAGAAAAAATATATTTGGGAAGAAAATGGAAGATAAGGCAAATTGTCCAGGGCATGATGTGAATGATCTTGGTTGGGAGGGTGGCCCAGACACTGACTCATCACAGGAAGGGGTCTCTAACAAAAAAAATAAAAAGGTGTGGCAGCTTCTGCTGTAAACTCCCACAGTGGTCATGGGCACATTGCCTAGTATGTCAATCAGGTGCTGCCAGCTCAAGCCATGGCTATATAACCGTTGGACAATGCAGCCTATACCTCTTGCCAAAAGCATTCTGAGCACTGGCACTCCCTCTCCACATCATTGATGGGGCTGGAAACTGGAACCTCTTTTTAGTTCTGTTAAGAACGAGGGAGCTGTAGGTAGGTTAAGGCACTAATCTTTCACTTCTGGAGATGTGAGCTCAGACCTGGTCACAAGTGCAATTAGTCTGGTAGTTCCAAGCTAGTTTCCTATCTAGACATTTGTCCACATCAGTAAACGTGCTTTCGCCACAGTAAGCTAGAGTTGGCAGGGTTTGTGTGTCGTGTAAGGTGCTGTTTATCTCTTCAGCCAGTAGGTGCCATTGCTAAATTTAGAACTGATCAAGAGACTGCCAAGATTCCAGTCCCTCGTTCTTCAAGCATTAACAGGAATGTGTATCAAAGATATTGCTACCTGAAATTTATCAGCCAAAACTTTTTCAGCAAAGGGTGCAGATTCGGCAACACTAAAACATTCTGCAAATTTACTGAATGATTCCTTTTTTAAAAAACCAGAAAGCGGCAAAATGTTTCATTTTGACATTTTCAAAACTAAATGCTTTGATTTTTCAGTTAGAAATGACTTTTTTCCAAGTATCCTTCAAGTTTATATTTTAAAAAATCCCAAACATTAAAAAATGATTGACATTGAAATGAAGCATTTTGTTTTGGATTGAATGAAATATTTCGTTTGACCGAAAATGACATTTTTTCTATTTGCTGAAAATTCTGAAAAAGCTTGTTTAGAGTCCATCCCAAATGACAGGTTTCAGAGTAGCAGCCGTGTTAGTCTGTATCCGCAAAAAGAAAAGGAGTACTTGTGGCACCTTAGCGATGAACAAATTTATTTGAGCATAAGCTTTCGTGAGCTACAGCTCACTTCATCAGATGCATGCAGTGGAAAATACAGTGGGGAGATTTTATATACACAGAGAACATGAAACAATGGGTGTTACCATACACACTGTAAGGAGAGTGATCAGGTAAGGTGAGCTATTACCAGCAGGAGAGGAAAAAAACCTTTTGTAGTGGTGGGCCATAATCAAAGTGGGCCATTTCCAGCAGTTGACAAGAACATCTGAGGAACAGCCGGGGGGAGGGGGAATAAACATGGGGAAATAGTTTTACTTTGTGTAATGACACATCCACTCCCAGTCTTTATTCAAGCCTAATTTAATGGTGTCCAGTTTGCAAATTAATTCCAATTCAGCAGTCTCTCGTTGGAGTCTGATTTTGAAGTTTTTTTGTTGAAGAATTGCCACTCTTAGGTCTGTAATCAAGTGTCCAGAGAGATTGAAGTATTCTCCGACTGGTTGCTGAATGTTATAATTCTTGACGTCTGATTTGTGTCCATTTATTCTTTTATGTAGAGACTGTCCGGTTTGGCCAATGTACATGGCAGAGGGGCATTGCTGCCACATGATGGCATATATCACATTGGTAGATGTGCAGGTGAACGAGCCTCTGATAGTGTGGCTGATGTGATTAGGCCCTATGATGGTGTCCCCCTGAATAGATATGTGGACACAGTTGGCAACGGGCTTTGTTGGGAGTGGATGTGTCATTATACAAAGTAAAACTATTTCCCCATATTTATTCCTCTCCCCCCCCCCCCCCACTGTTCCTCACACGTACTTGTCAGCTGCTGGAAATGGTGCACCTTGATTATCACTACAAAAGATTTTTTTCACCCCTGCTGGTAATAGCTCACCTTACCTGATCACTCTCGTTACAGTGTGTATGGTAACACCCATTGTTTCATGTTCTTTGTGTATATAAAATCTCCCCACTGTATATTCCACTGCATGCATCCGATGAAGTGAGGGGTAGCTCACGAAAGCTTATGCTCAAATAAATTTGTTAGTCTCTAAGGTGCCACAAGTACTCCTTTTCTTCATCCCAAATGAGTTTCTTTTCCTTTTTTTTTTTTTCCGGAATTGCCAGAGAACTGAAAAATCCATTATTCGCACAGCTCTAGTCTGAGGCTTCTTTTGGGTAGCCAGCCACACCTCTGGAATTACTGGTGTGCTGCAGTCATAGACACTACAGGTGAAGTCACTGGAACATGTTTACTGAGATGCTGAGGACCACAACAATGTCCTTTAGGCTGCCAACAGCATTTGCAAAGAAAATCCAGGAGCTAAGACAAACTTTCTTTCACTCTCACCTTATTTCTGAAATATTTTCCTTTTTTCAACTTTCATATTACAAATTCTAGCAGAGTTTTTCATGAGTTTGTGTAGGCAGGGCATTTCTCCTGGATTCCCCTATTCCATCACCCTGGGTTGGGTCCTTCCTCACTGAGCTTCCCTCTGGTGGATGTGGGCTGGGTATGGATTGCTTCCCAATGCATCTACACTGCTCTTAGCACTGGCCAGGTGGGATGAGGAAGCACTATAACACACTGTGAGTGTTTCCCTTACCTCCAGGTGCCCCACTGTGCTCTCAGCGCCTGAGACTGTCTTTCAGCTAGGTCTCCTTATATTTCCAAAACGCCGAAGGTTAGCTAACAGTACTGGTAACTTCCAAAAGAATGACAAGATGAGGATCTCCACATCCCACAGCTCTGTTACATTGAAGCATTGTTTCTGTAGGATTTAGAATCACAACTGATTCTTTTAAAAAATGTTAAATGTTCTCTTTCCAGTCAAATACACTAGACAACATCGCCTACATCATGCCTGGACTCTGACAGGAAAGGACCCTGGGATGAACCTGCTTCCACGTTACCGACTTGTGTACATAGGCGCTATACCGGCACTCTCTAAGGGCTCCGTGTGTAGGGTTTTAAAGTTTTATATCTGTATAGTATATACATAGGATTGTAACTATTTTACTTTTATTAATTTTATGAAAAGTTGTGACATAAGCTGAGCAAATCCTTTCCTGTTGGTGGGAGAGACCTACTCAATGTATTCTCCAGTCAGAAGGTTTTTGCGTGGTTGGAGTTCATAAAACTTTTGATATATCAGCCTTAAATTCAAAGAAGCCTTTTTGGGGAATTGGCCTGAGCACAGACTGTCTGTTAATGGACAAGTGCACAGGCTTGTTCATTTTGGACCAAGCAATACTGCTGGACTCATCACCACACCTGTTTCTAACTTTATTGAAATGCACTGCTTTGGGGGAGGACTGGATGGCTGTCAGAAGAAAGAGGCTTTGACCTCTAGGTCATTTCTTCCAACTCCCAGGTCATTAGTGTTACTGTCTGCTGACTGGCTGGTAGCTTGTGTTAAAATAGTTGTGGAGATGGTGAAGAATCTGTACTCTTCTAGTGGACTTGTACCTACATCATCATCAACACTAGATGCCAACCTCAGAAAAGGGCCAAAGATTGAATGGACTGAGGAGAATGAACCACCCTCTTAATTCCTTCAGATCAGGGCTGTACCACCCTGATGGGGATGAGAGGGCAATAGGTGGGAGAAACTTGCACTGCCTCTGCCCATCTGTACCTGTTTTGTGGGAAGAGGACTTTGTTTCTAAGAGTGTTGATCCTATTTCACCAGCAGTATTGAAAAAGAGTTATGGAATCCTGGTGCTGCCGGATTATCTAGAGACAGTGCTTAATGTTAAAGATCGAAGAGATTCTTGCTGAGTGGAACATGGGTTGGGTGGCCAGATCCCACCTGAGCGCCTTCTCCTCTAAAGTGAGCTGCAGGAAAGCATTTGATTCTCACATAGGTGTGCGTGTGTATGTGTGGTGTATTTAACTTTTGCCAATATCTGTAATAGATTTTAATTTATCCTGTATATTTCTGTATATATATATGTGTGTGTGTGTGTGTATATATATATATATATATATATAAAATTTAAAAACAAAATAGCTTTCCCTCCACCAATCGTTTGTGGAAAATATGAATCAGCTGTGCTCACCCCCCACCCTACAGGAATTAGCTGCTCCTGTTGTAGCAGGCATAGACTCTGCAAGAGGGAATAGCAACAACAGGATGTTAAGCCCTTTTGAAGAACAGTGTGTCCAGGGATGTTGGGTGGAAGCTGAAATGGAGACCTGTTTATTCTGGCCCCAGCCTCCCCATCCCTTATAATTTATAGGTTTTAAAGTAGCAGAAGGAGGACACTTTTGCTTCTGTTTTGAATTCTGGATTCTCTTTTCCGTGGCAGTTGGAAGTGAGCTGTATCTCAATATGGCTGAGCTCTAAATCTGTCACAATTAAGCAAATCCTTGGATGTGTAGAGGGAAGCTTCCACCCAATCCCCTCTACTGTGTATTTCCCCAGCTGCACGTACATGGTAAATGCTGTCTTGTAGGGCTTCCTCTCTTCCCAGTTCAGTGCTGCTTTGTTGGTCAGTCAGTAGGGCTGGACTGGTGGGTGAAACAGAAGGCTCTTATAGAGCATATAGAAGATCTGGGCCTAGGCCTCAGACCTAGGCATACACATCTCAAAAATATGTGGCTAATCCCAAGCGGCATTTGAGGGAGGTAGGGGTGAGCAGAGAGATATTAGTGGGCTTCTGAACCCTCACCAAACCCTCTATTCTAAGAAATGGCATAAAACACCTGACTGTGTTTCCAGCTCTCCACAATGGAGAGCACTGTAGTGAGTGATAGATACTCAGATCTCTATCTAAGGAGCATAAGGGGATCAATCAACTATAGCTTTGCCATCTATATAACAAACTCTTGAAGAGTTTTAAAAAGAACCAACCACACACACAAACCCTAATGTATTGTATTTTTATTTAAAATTTGTAAACATTTGTATAATCTGTATCTTGTGGTATTTGGTATTAGAGGGGAAACTTTGGACTGAGACCTGTTTTTATATTTTTGTTATTTTTCTTGCCATTTGGTCCAGATTGCATTACAGTTGTATAAAGAAACTTTTGTACTGTACTTACATATAATTTTTTTAACATTTGGAGTTTGTGTCATTATTTTGTATTTATATCTGCATCTTCTCCCCAACAACACTGGCTACTAGTGTTTAGTATTACTAAATAGTGCATAGTAGTCTGTTTTATTAGCCTCTCCTGTTCTATGGACACTGTGTTCCAACACCTCATTTCTAATAGCACAATCTGCTTGATACATCTCTTGAAAATTACTGATAATTTAGACCCCCTACTCCATACTTCTTAGCGGCATCAATGAGAGACATGCCTGAGAGCTGTCATCTAGCATTGCAAATGTCCCACTACTGAGCCATGTTCCTGCCCCTGTGACCTTCCCTGCAGCTCAATTCATGTGTTGCAAGCAAAATAGTACTGGCGGTTCAGGATCAGTATGGTATGCCACTAGTTACAGGAATAGTAGGATCACATCTTGTCATTATATTCTTTAAAAATTCTGTTTTCAGGAGTTGAGAAACTCATGGACCAGTTGCAGCCTCAGAACTTGTATGTTGGGATGTCTCAACCCATGATGATACAGAATATGACACTTCACCAACGCAAACTGTATTTTGTATTTCAACACAAGTTGACAAGAGATAAATTTTAAAATACATAACCACCTACCCTCACACATTTCAACATTCCAGGAAAACCACATTAAAAGAACTATTTAATATGTTGGAGGAAAAAGACTTACGTACTGAAGGTGGTTGTCAGTTCCTCCTACCATCATGCATAAAACAGAAACAAACAGTAAAACTAAAAGATGAAGCACTTAGAACTGTTCTGCATATGTTAAGTGCCGCAGGCTATGTTCTAGTCCACCACTCGCACTCACAACACAGCAAATGTAAACTTTGGAGCTGGGGTTGGCCAATTTAAAAGACCGCTCAGGTAGAGAGAGGGGTCCTAAACTCCCCAGCACAAGTCCCATAGCAAAGGAAGCAGTTTCGTCCATCACTCTTCAGCAGCCTCCACCCATGTCACCAGAGCCCACAGAAGTAATAAGCCTGGCTTGATTCAGAGGCAGTAGAATCCAAACTACTAGGTCTGTTTTAAAAATAGATATGACACATACACAGGGTGCTATTGTGAGTTCATAATCTGCATGGATTAATAAATCAGTACATTCAGGCTTTTGGAGTAACATACTATGTTAAAACAATAAATTGCATTTGATTACTGTCGCTCCAAAAAGGTGTTTTGATTCTAAGACATTTTATGGATGGTATTTGCTCCAAAAATACTTATTGGTGACTTTCAAATGGTTCCCTTCTATGGAATAATTACTACAGAGACATATTCTTTAGTATCCAGTACCCTTGTTGTCAGGAATAACAAATGAGGCTGGTATTTTGATTGGCACATCTATTAAAGTCTTGTTTTTTGGTTGAGTACCACCAATGTGCTGGACTTAGTAGGAAGACTAGGCCCTCTTGCCTGAAATTTTCCATTTTAGGTCATTAGGGTGAATCAATTCCTGTTAGGGAATTCCCACTCTTTCCCCTTGTTCCCACACTGATACCCCCTAGAAGCAACATCACCCTTAGATCTGTGTATCCAGACAGAAATTGCACTGGTTTAATTTAAATCAGTTCAGTTAAACTGGTGCATCTGTTGTATGTGAACTCTCTTGTATAGGTTTCAGAGTTATATTGGTTTAGCATGCATTTGTAAATTTATTGACAAGCCAAAATGCAATACACCAGGTTTAATCTGATAGTGTCCACACACAAAGTTGCACCAGTTTCACTGACTCAGTATAAAATTAGCCCTGTAGATAAACCAATATAAGTTTTAGGTAGATCAGGCCTTTGTGTGATTGTGGAGTCTCTGAAGTCCCAAGACTTAGGAAAAGTAAACACAATTTGAAAATATTTAACTGTACCACTTAAAAATCTTTCCTGAAAGCCTCTAGTTGTAGGTTGGTGCAGGTTAACCCTTCAGCATGCTGACAGAACTCTTCAGTCTAATTTCCTCTACCAGCACACCTTTCATCTGCAGATTTCAAAAATATTAGGCAAATATGGGTATGATTCCATTTGGTAAATAGGAAAACCCGGGGGCAGACTTGAAGTGATCTGACCAAGATTAAATGGGCAGTCAGTGTCAAAGCTCACACTAGCACTCCTAACCTCTGACTCCCATACTGCTCTAACCACCAGACCACATTTCCCACTGCCTGAAGTGAGGACAATTTCTGAGATGAAAAAAGAAAAGGAGTACTTGTGGCACCTTAGAGACTAACCAATTTATTTGAATAAATAAAATAAATAAATTGGTTAGTCTCTAAGGTGCCACAAGTACTCCTTTTCTTTTTGCGAATACAGACTAACACGGCTGTTCCTCTGAAACCTGAGATGAAAAACAATCAGCATATCAGGTCAGGACGTAGGTGACGATTTTTGTTCACTCACGAGAGCACCTGCTTCGGCAGGGGGTGGACAGCACTGAGGTACCCCAGGCAGGGGAGACAGGCAGCTGTGAATTTAATAGGCATGTCGCAGGGCTATGATAAAAGCCCTTGCAATTTACTTTGGCAGGATCCAGAATTCTTTGGGGGCATTGTAATGTGATAACATGACCTTGGGTTCATTGTTGCCCCATGTTATGCCTTACCTTGAAAATAAGCATGAGCCCTTGCCTGGCTGCAGTAACGTGGGGGAGGAGCAAGTGCATCCCTTGCATCGGAGACTGCTGCTCTGCTCTAATCCATGTGCCACACAGCGCTGGGGACAGAGGCCTAGTCTAGTCCTTCGGATGTGGGGAAAGAATGGGGGAGTGAGGTTTTTGTGGGTGCGGGTGAAGGATCAGGTCTGGGGGCAAAGGAAGGACAGGTCTTGTGGGTTGGTCAGTAGAGGGCTGGGGGGCAGAGGGGCCGCTGGGGGGATGGGAGAAGGAAGGAGCGGGCCGCAGCGCGGTCCTTCACCTTCCCAGTGGATATTTCACAGGCCCCTTGTGACCCTGCAGCACGATGACATGTTCTGTGACATCACACTGTGAGGTCACGGGCATGGCTGTGTGACGTCACTGCGGTGGCGAGCGCTACAGGCCCTCCCTTCACTCAGCGACTCCCAGCGCTCCCCCCCGCGGCCACGCCCTCGAAGAACAGAAGGCCGCTTGCTTTCGTCACGCGTGGGCGGGGCTACGAGACACACCCCGTCCTGAGCCGGGGGGGGGGAGGTCACGTGACGGGCGCCCGCGCTGTCAGCTGATTACTGGGCTGTGCTGCGGCGGCGGCGATGGAGTTTCTCCTGGGCAGCCCCTTCAGCTCCCCCGTGGGGCAGCGCATCGGTGAGTCCCTCAGCCCCCCCTTACCCCACGTCCCGGCCGCTCGGACTCCGCCGCCAACTCAGCCCCCTCCTCTGGGAAGCAGCGACAGCAGCTGGGTGCTGGGTCGGCGCGAGCGGCTGGGCGAGTCCTACGGCCGCAAGGCGGGATTGACACGGTTCTGGCCAATAAGGAGGCGAGGCTCATTTGTTTGACTGGCACCAGCGGCCAATAGGGAACGGGCGGGGAGGCGGGTCCTGGGGGGCTCCCCTTCCAGCCAATCCCCGTGCGCGGGGGTCTCGGAATTTTTCTTATTTAAAGGGCCCCGGTGGCGAGAGCCACGTCTCCTGCGAGGGGGCGGGGCTGGGAGCGGGCGTCCGGCCTCACAGTTCTCTGGGGCCGCCTATTGGCCGGGGCGGCGGCGACCCTACAGTAACAAACCTGGCGCCTCTCGCTGCTGGGCGCGCCCGAGAAGGAGCTCACCGGAGCCGGGCGCCCTCGCCTCGGTAGGGGTGGTAGGTGCCTGTAGAGGAAGGGAACCGCAGGAACAGCCCATAGGCGCTCGCTGTCGGGAGGGGAGCTGTAATATCTGCTCCCTGCCCTTGGAGCCGCCCAGCCCGACCGGTGCAATTATTGGGGCCCCAGCTAGTTTTGGGGGGAAGGACACATGCACATGGCAGCTTCACAGCCAGCCCTACAGGGCAAGGGTTGTGCATGCGGCTCTAAGTTTATGGCACTGTAATACATTGTAAGGAGAGTGATCACTTTAGATAAGCTATTACCAGCAGGAGAGTGGGGTGGGCGGAGGTATTTTTTCATGCTTTGTGTGTATAAAAAGATCTTCTACACTTTCCACGGTATGCATCCCATGAAGCTGAGCTGTAGCTCACGAAAGCTCATGCTCAAATAAATTGGTTAGTCTCTAAGGTGCCACAAGTCCTCCTTTTCTTTTTGCGACTACAGACTAACACGGCTGTTACTCTGAAACCTGTAATAACTGTATGCACCTGGCCCTGCCATAGGCTAATTCCTTACTTGGCTCCTCACACCCTCCATCTTCTCGTGGCGTTATCCTTCTCGCCCCTGCCACAGGCCGCAAGACCCGTGATCAGTCTTGATAGAAATCTGTGGGAAGCTTTGGCAAAATCTGTGGAATTTCTAACAGGGAAGTCTTGTTTGTATTTGCTAATCTGTTTAACTGAGCTCTCTTAATTAGGGCATCTTCCCTAGCTGAAGAATAGGCTCGTTCAGTGTAAACCTGTTATGTTTTAGTACTATATTGATTTCTACTCATTGCGTTAGTTATTAGCTGGAGTTTTTTTAGGATTGGGGCCTTTTCTATAGCACCAGGTATTTCCCCAATGCTTTACAGATAGGGCAGGGAATGTGTCTTCATCTATCAAGTTTTTAGAAAGGCAGGATATCTTAGACGTACATCACCTCTAAGAACTTGAGAATAAATAGCGTCCAATCCAAGACCTTGCAAATCTAGGAAGAATGGCATTCCTCTTAGTCTGTGGCTGAGTTTAACGAAAGGCAGAGAGGAAGCTAATATAAAGATAAAAAACTAAGGGTAGAACAAGAAATTGGAAAATTGTTTTAGAGAGAAAGTGCAAGAAAGGACTGGAGCAACGAAGCAGGGAGGGATGCACAGTAAGTTTTTTTTTTTTAAGTGTTTAACAAAGTTTCCTTTAAAAATATGTATAAAGACTGCCTGCTTGTGTGGTGTAATATTTTTTCAATTTTTCAGGGAAATCTT